CATCAGTTATTTTTGCAAGGCTTCATAGAATTTTACAACTGAAATTCACACGAATAAAATTCCTGATCAAGCAACAGAGGATAAACAGTTCGGTGGGCATTGCACAATTCCCCTTTCTATGCAAGAGATTGATAAAATCAGCTTTCATACTTTGCTTTATATTTATTAATCTAGAACACTCCTCAGTTAATTGCTTTTACTTTCTTGGTACAGAAGAAAATAGAGAATATAGAAGACTGAGCAAAAGACATTCCAAAAGATAAAATAGGAGGAATACAAGAAGGAAAAGGAGAGGCTGACTTGGGACAGTCTTTGTTAAAAAATGGATCATTGGCAGAGAGGGGAAAGAGGAAGCTCTGATGAGAAACTGTAAACAGTGTAAAAGGTGACATGGAGCTGGGAAGCAGGACAAATGGGGATAAAAGCTCCAGGTTCTCTTTCTTCTATGTTTGTCCAAGGGTATGGTAGGGACAGAGAAGAATTATATCTCACCAACTGTTTTAGTCCCTGTTCTCATCTATTGTTTGTTTACCTTCAGTTGAGAACATGTCATTGGGGATGCAGGCCATTTCATAGCTATTTGAAAATAAGTTTCAGAAGCTCATTATTTCTGTACGGATATTGGCCTTTTTTTTTTTCCTTCTAAGGGAGACAATATCCCCCTTGTGTCTTCAGAGATTTTATCCTTCACTAATGTGCTGTGTTTATAGACATGTCTACTCTGTGCATTAAGTATTATCTCCTTCTGTTAGCTTTGGTGTAATTGTCAGGTTTTGCTACTCAGGAAAATGCTGTGCAAGTCTTCCCACACATTCACTTTTGAAAGCCTTTGCAGGGATAGAGGTTCATGGTTGCTGTCTAGAGTTCACTAGAGGTTGTGGTGGCAGCTCAATGGTGACAGAAAACACACCTTTGTGGTTAACACAACAAAAGTTGAAAAGATCAATCTTATAAAACCATTTATTGGAACTTTTGTTCTGACTCTCTAGAACATCTCATTATCAATCAGGTCCTGAGATTGTTTGCTTTCTGCTGTACCCAGCTGTAGTTTACTGAGGATTTAGAGAAACAAGGCTAGAAAAGGGCATTACAAAGTTGCCTGACTAGTGGTTCTCAATGCATAACTTGTGGTCAACATATCAATCAGAAGGCCCACCAACATTTCTCACAGTTAGAACAAATTAAAGCAAAAAATGGCCTGACAAGGAGAGTCTGAAGTTCCTGTGGTGCCTTATGTTTCTGTGTTGTTATCAACACATTGTCATTGGCTGGGGAGCATTAATCATTTCTCAGCCTCAGCAGAAAGGGAAGGTGGGAGAGCTAAGGGTCTGTGTCAACATTTTTTATGAACATAGGAAATGAATCCTGAGCTCTAATTCCAGCTCTGAAATCTAATTTCTTCCTGTGTAAGACTTAATACAATACCTGTCCTTAGTTTACACAATATGAATATTTCTCTGTGTCCTTAGACATTAAGAGTGACTAAGTTTTGAAAACTGTCATCTTGAAGGTATAATACTGACAACACAGATGTTTTGTCTTCACCTCACTGTAATTTTATTTCAGTAGCAATAGTTACTATTTTCCATACTCCATTGCCCAACTTTGAGTTATCTATTCTGGGCTTTCTTTAGCAATGCTCTTTCATTACTTACTAAGTAAACCCTTGACATTACTTCCTTCCTCTAACTTGACGCCATCAAGAAAAAATACAATCATTCACAACAGACTTCAAAAATTAGAGTTACATCTTGTAGAATGGGTTCAGTGGAGGAAAAAATTATTTTAATTTGGTTATAGTGAGTCCACCAAAAACTCATACTAGCAAATATTGTCAGGAAAATTAGTATCAGAAGACATAATGCACTATGATCCTTCTTTTTTATCTTTGTTTCATATATCTTAGTCACTTGAGAAAGGAGAGGTACTTTTAAGTTGTGCTCCCTCATTTAATGAGACGTTGCTACACTGATAGCAGGGGAAATGTCTTCAGCGGTGCTAAAAATTGTTTTGTGCACTAGAAAATGTCATGCAAATAGTAAAATAGAATAAAACCTGGTCTGTTAACAAACAAGAGAGAGAAAGTATCGATCTGAAAGTAAGAGAGAAAATTATTTTTCACACTGCAGTCCATATCATTAGGGTACTTTAGAGTTTACCCAATCACTTAAGCTAGATAATATGTGGCTAGCACTGTGCACCATTGGAATTACGAGCTTGAGGGAGTCCCTAGAGGGCTGACTTCTACAGAAAACATTCTATCTGATTTCTATTTTTTTTCCTTTTCTTCTGATATGCTGTAGAAATCGATGTCTTAGATTATAAAACCTTTTGAACTACATTCAGCACTGGTATAACTGCTGATTTCAAAGGAGTTGAATACAACAGACAAGGACTGAGCTCATTGATTTTAATTCAGATGAAAATTATGGCCTTATTCTCAACTTAATTCATTTATAAAAATTCTTTACTCAGCTTCTCTCTCCCTTTTATTTTGTGCATGGGAATGATTTTTGCCTGCTTTGACATATTTTATTTTTATATTTTTTATCTTCTAAAATTACTTGAGTAACCTGCCCTCTTCAAAGATATTTATTGCATAGCACAACTTGCAAACTGATTGCAATAAATCATAGAATCACTGAATATGCTGAGTTGGAAGGGACCCATCAGGATCTTTGAGTCCAGCTCCTGTCCCTGTGTAGGGCACCCCAAGAATCACACCATATGCCTGAGAGCATCATCCAAATGCTTCTTGAACTCAGGCAGGCTTGGTGCTGTGACCACATCCCTGGCCAGCTTGTTCCAGTGCTCAGGCACCCTCTGGGTGAAAAACCTTTTCCTGATATCCAACCTAAACCTCTCCTGATTCAGCTTCCTGCCCCTTCCCCAAGTCCTGTCGTTGGCCACAGGAGTGAAGAGGTCAGTACCTGCCCCATCTCTTCCCCTCATGAGGAAGCCATAGACTGCAATGAGGTCACCCCTCAGCCTCCTCCAAGCTGAATAATCTAAGTGACCGTAGCTGCTTCTCATAAGTCCTCCCTTCCAGACCTTCACCATCCTCGTGGCTCTCCTTTGGACACTTTCCAATAGCTTGATGTCCTTTTTATATTCTGGTCCTCAAAACTGCAGGCTGTACTCAAGGTGAGGCCCCACCAGTGCAGAGTGGAGCAGGACAATCATCTGGCAACACTCTGTGTGATGCACCCCAGGACGCGGTTGGCCCTCCTGCCTGCCAGGACGCACTGCTGGCTCATCTTCAGTTTGCCAATGAAATTTAACCCCATTTCCATGCAGGCAAGATACAGAGTAAATACCATGCATGAGACAAAAAGAGTACACAATTGTCACAGAGTTCTTCAGTAGCTGATAGGGAACACTTCACTGGAAGTCCTAAAACTATCTTTATGCCTTCTCTTTAATTCTGTATTAAAGACTGCAACCGGATATAAAATGGATTTCTTATCATAGGAGAATTGCATTTAAAAGATGTTTAAAATTTTCACCTAAGTGAAACAAAAATTAAAATCTTTTACAAAATGAATCATTAAAACATTAGTAGATGCATTTCTTAGTTTTGTTTTGTTCGAACATTATATTTCATTGATGATTTTCATTTTGAATTTCTTTTCCTGGAAGCGGTTTCCAATTTGTTTTTTCCATGGAAAAAGTCATGTCCAAAAGCTCTTGACAATTCACTAGTTGCACATGATGCATATGGCTTTGACCCTCAAGGCAAGTATTTTTTCTCATTTCCTTTTTCAGCTTACCTAATTCTGTACCCAAGTTATCTTTTGCAGTATTTGGTAATTATAATCTTGGGTGATGTGAATTGGAAATGTACATTCTATTATTTGCTGCTGAGTAGTCTCTCTGAGGATGGTATCATCAAATCAGAAGTAGTATGTTCAACCAAAGCTACAGGTTCCCTCATTTCTGATTACAGCATTGTTAAAAGTTAAAGTTTCCTAACCACTCCACTTACCTCAGATATACATACACTACAGACTTGAAAACCAAAGACTTTCCATGTGTTATTTTTATACTATATTTCAGTCTCTGCTTAGAAGTGCAAAATCAAAGACTACCTGAGTGTGTTTACCTACTTGCACTCTGTTGTACAGGTGCATCTGAATGCTGCACAAGACATTGGGATTTCTCTGCAATAATTTTTTAGCCATCTTTTACAGCCATCTTTTGGTCTGTTCCTTTGGTGCTAATTACTATTATCATAAAGGTGTTATCTATATGGTGTAGAAAAATGAGAGCAAATATCTAAAATTGTTGCTTACAATATTGACTGCTCCACATACTGATGTTTTTTCATCAGATACTAAAAATACTTTGAAAGAAGGTGGCAACAAATGGTCAAATTGAAAAAGTAGCAAGATTTTTAAGCAGAAACAGCAGATTTAGTAGTTACAAGTTCAAGATGACTCTTGGCCTGCAACAAAGACATCATAGCCAAAATAAAAAGAGAATACCTATACATTTAGTTGTAGATTTAATAAACATTCCTACTGCAAGTTCATATCATCTTGTGCTTTGGTGAAAATAAAGCAAGTAAAATACAGACTTGGCAAAGTCCTTGCTGAATTGTTCATGCTTTTCTTTCCCCATGTGTAAATGCAAGAGATCTACATTAAAGTAACAATATCTGCACATAAATCCAGATTCAAAATGGATATGTAGTCAGGTTACTTCCCCTGAGTGGCTTCCCATTATCTCCTACCTTACATCTGGTTGATTTGAGAAAAAAGATACTGTTTTGTATACCTTTTGATTGAGTGAAAGATTATCCAGGTTAATAGCTGTTAATGGTTTGTTTTGTTAGTCTTCGAATAACTTCTACTGGTATCTTGGCTCAAAATGGAGAGCAAAAGCAATGGGGGAAACAGTTTACAGCCAAAATGGAAAATGCAGTTTGATCAAATAGATTACAATACCAACGACAGAACAGAACCCATTTGTAAGTGCTTAGATTATGTTTCTCATGCTAGCATCAACCAAATAAACAGGTATTAAAGAAGTTCATATTCTAGCAGTGGTCACTATTTAAATGGTGAAATTGATTAACCCATTACCTTTTATTTTATTCGCTGCTTATGACAAAATCTTACTAATGATTAATTTGATATTGTATATTCTTGGATTCAAAACTCTTGGCTGAGGTGTGGCATTTTTTGATCATTAGAATTAAATATTCCATATCTCCCGTTGGTTCATGACAAAAATCACCAGGTGCCTTTTTGCTGGTTCCCACAATTTGCCATCTATGCATTGCTGCAGATTTTCTTCAGATAGTCCCTTTCAGCCACTCTTCATATTGATCTTGCTGCAACTACTGACATGTCATCATATACTTTGATTTTGTCCTGCCCGTGACACATTTTTCTTACCCATCTCCTCTTGCTATTTGGTTTAAGGCTGCAGCACTTCTTGCAAGGAGAAGTCTTATGTCAAGTTGGTATTAAATGTTACAATTATCCTCTTATTTTGTTAAAATGTTGAAACTCAAGGAAGAGGCCAACTCTTCAGTTTTTCACAGAGAATACACTATATTCTTTTCATAATCTAAGTCTTCTGCCAGTTATCCTTCAGGTCTAATGACTGAAACTGGGGAAAATGAGTTGAGCTGTATTTGGTGCTGTGACCTTTCAGTTCTATCAACAGCAACTGTCTGTGTTTTAAGACATTTGTTTTGATCCCATGTAGTAATACCAGACTGCATATCAGACTTTAAAGTGACTGACTATTCTATTTCGTTTTAAATAATACATATGGTATGCCTGGATGAGAAAAGGGGTTTGTAGTTTGCACAGGGTAAGTTTCTAGACTGCTCAATTAGAGTTGTTGGGTTTTTTTTTTGGTTTTTTGTTGTTTTGTTTTTTTTTTAATTTAACATAAAATACAGGAAAATGTGTGAGGTCATTAAACCAGGGATTATTTACACTTTATTAAAACTGAACAGACACCAAATATTTTTCTCTAGCTATCACCAGCTTTTTCCCTGGGGCAAGGAAAGATGTCAGGTTCTTTGACATCTGGCTCTTAGCTTCTACTTATTACACATGCAGTCATGAACCTTTACTGCTGCAGGGTCAACATTTGTCTTGTCTATCCTCAAACTTGAGCAATGAGACTTAGATTCCTGGAATTTAAAAATTCCTTTTGTTGAATACATTTCCCTTGAACTTTAAAAACATTCAAAATTCTGTATCTGACAAAAGTATATAAAAATAGTCTGATATGAAATCTTGTCTTTCTCAGTGTAAGTAGTTCAATGCTTTAAAATAGATCATTGATCTCCATATAGTCTAAACCAGAACTAGAAGTTCTTACACATACCTTAGGTTTCTAGATGTAGTAACTGTCTTGTTCTGTAAGCTGATGATCTGTTATTGTCTATTTGACAACATGGCACAAAAAAATTGCTGGTAGTCTTTATGTTCATTATTTTATAAATCACAATATCCAAGGGGAGTGAAATTTCTTTCTACCTGTACTAATCTTGCATCCAAAAGAGGGAAAAAAAAGCAGGTCAGGGAGAAGACACAACATTCCCTCCCCATCTTTGGATGTTGTACAGGTAATAAATCTTGGTATTCTAAGACCTTCACTTGCCCCTTTGAGGGGTAAAACACTTGATGAACAGCCCTTTACAATCCCTTAGGTATTAATGCTATTATTTCTGAAATTCTCAAGTTGTAGTACTCTTCTAAAATCTTATCATAGCAAAACTATTTGTTTTATAACCTATGCTTTCCAAATTATTCTCTAAAAATGAGATTTTGCTGTTCTGCACATTTATTGAACATGACATCTTTTTAAAAATCTGAATATTCAGACTCCAGTTTTTTTTGCTTTTCACAGTTTAATCACAAGAAAGAAACTGGAATTTTTTCTCATTCTAGGCATTAAAGTTTGAAAAGCCAGTCAGATGCAATAAGTTCATGGCTTTAGAGAATCTAAAGAGAATCTTTTGCCAAAAATTTCCAGAGCATTAGTTTGTTGACATATGTTTTCACACATAAGCACACATCTTCAAGGAAGCAAATGCTTTGGTTTATTTGTAAAAACTGAGTAGGAATAAAACAAATGAGAGGATTCTTGGTAAAAACAAAACCTAAGACACTTGACTTGTTATCTATTTAGGAAGCTGCTCATTTATTCAGACATTATGTTCAGCATCTGTTAATTGTACTCCTGCACTTGACAATGTCTGTTTTGAAGTGAAGGACAAGCTGTGAAATAGTTTTTTTAATCCCTGCTCTCTTCCTGAATCTTATTGGCTAATAAAGCTTCAGTTTGTTTTGAGGGAAGTGACAGAACCTAATAAAATAAAAACTGTATTACAATATCCATTCTAGTCCTGTACCATCAGCAATCTATAATTTTCTTAAGTGAAGCTTCTGTTTTTAAGGCCTCTTTTGGATTCAGTTCATATCTGAAGACATACTGGTACAGCACAGAGCTCTGTTTCATTCTGTACTTCAAGTTTAAGGAAAGCTAATTCAGGACTCAATGGAGAGGGTAACAAATTATTTACTCCAGTTAAATATATAGCTGTTTATGACTCATTTTTTGTTTTTCAACAGTTCTGATTCCAAAATGACTGGAGTAGAGAATTCAATTTTACTATGGAAGTACCCTGCACTGAGAAGTGCTTTGAAATATTTTCATGAACAATTTTTTTTTCTTTTACTGAATTATGACCTGTTGAAAAGTGACCTGCAGGCATCCAGAATATGGCTTCAAGATCAAAGGAATGTTGTGATTTCCACACAAACTTAATAAGTAAATGTGTAAAGGGAATGTGAGGAAACGTATTCTTGAAAGGCCTTTAAATGCACAGGAAAACATCAACTGAAGCAAGATTTGAGATTTCTCATTAGGCAACTAAGACCTGATTTGCTGAAACTGTTGGCCTTTGGCTGTCTGAACAGTGAAATAGGTAATTAATTTCAAGTAGATGATGTAAGTCATGTAGATGTGCAAGTCAATTTACATAAATCACAGGCAAGGGCTTTTCTGGGGCATAATAGTCTTAAGTACATTTTAAATGCTTTCTACAATTGGAGGATAGTTAGGTGTTTTGGTATTCTCACAGCTTTTTTTTCATATAGGTCTTAATGCATGACACATCTATAGATAGAGACTGCTATAAACAGATATTTTAGGCAGATATTTTGTCATGACTACAATAAAATCTGAGTGTCATTACATTCCTTCCTCATAACATGCTTGGTTATATTAAAAACATCTTGATATCAATGTTACATCTCAAAAGTGTCAGTAAAGCAAGATGAGCCACACTGTGGAGGGCACTTCAGCTGCTGCAGTGAAAGCAGAAGTCCCCATGGTCTTGTGGTCTGGCACAAAGGAAAGGTGATTATTTGTTGTGAAGTAATGATGAATAAGTTGCTTTTCTGGGATGTGATAAATATCACAAACTTGAATATCCCATCCATTTTGCCTCTACCCATTTCTGTGAGATGTGTGAGTTTCTTGAGTTTCTTCTTTCACTGATAACTACAAAGAACTGAACTAAAAAAAGGCAGCTTTTAAGACAGTTACTGATAGTTATTTTGGAAAATAAGGTGTTTAAGTTCAGCAAACTGTACTGTAGTTCTAACACAACTTTTATCTACTTAAGGTGAGTTTGGAGAAGTATGCAGTGGACGTCTGAAGACACCAGGAAAAAGAGAAATACCTGTTGCAATTAAAACTCTGAAAGGCGGCTATCTGGACCGGCAGAGAAGAGATTTCCTGAGAGAGGCTAGTATCATGGGACAATTTGATCACCCAAATATAATTCGCCTTGAAGGAGTTGTTACAAAAAGTAAGTTACTATTAATAGTTTTTTCTCTTTTTTTTTCCCATTCTGTCATTTAATATCAAAATTAAGCATTACTTCCACATTCAGTATGGACTGCAATTCTCAGAAATTGTCCAAATTATGAAGTGGAGCAGAAACTGCAGAGTTTGGGAACATCTCAGGAAATCCATAGCCTGTTTTAAATTAAAAATGGTTTAGCTGTGGTTTTTTTTAAATAAAAATCCTCCTCATTCAAATAAAGTCTTAAAGGTTTTATGAAATAGCACTGTAGATTTTACTTACGGGCAAGTGGAATACAGTAGATAAAACCATAAATGTAACTGAGTTGACAATGAAGTCACATCATCGTATCAGAGAGCAGCTATCATCTTCTTGTGTCACAATCACTAACTTTATTTAGCTCTGTTTTACTGCTGTTGGTGCCAGAAGAGATCAATTTCCTATTTTAAAGAAATAAAATGTAAAGTCTTTTGCACTTTTCTATACTTGCAAATGATTCACTGGTATTCCAGAATAATCTATGAAATATCTTACTTTTTATACCTGTTGCAGCTGTCAAGAGATATTCCTCACCTCTGAAAACTAGCATTTTTAGTAGGGTTATTGGCTTTTCTAAAATGCTGAACTATCGAGTTATCATTTAAGTATTAAGTAAAATTCATATTAACATGCATGTAATTAATGCCAAATTTTCTCGGTAATTAATTAAAAATCTCATAAGGTATACTCTTCTCAAAATGAGTTGTTGCCTCAACTAAGCTGTGCTGTTTGCTGGTTTGCATTACTTATTATTTTTCTTTTAAAGATCAAGTGTTACATGCATACAACAGTTACGTTCTCTTCCTATCACAGTAAATGCAATAAAGATTTTACAGATATTTCCTGTTTTCACCATGTTACAAGATCAAAAGCTATATTTGGAAAACACAATTTATTAGAACAGAAGAAATTATAGTTCCTGAATTCATGTCATTGGAATGGCATTTCAATAGGTTTACGGGATCACAAAATCACACAGAATCACAGAATTTCAGGGGTTGGAAGGGACCTCAAAAGATCATCTAGTCCAACCCCTCTGCCAGAGCAGGGTCACCCAGAGCACATCCAGGCAGGTTTTGAATGTCTCCAGTGAAGGAAACACCACAACCTCTCTGGGCAGCCTGTTCCAGTGCTCTGTCACTCTCACAGTAAAGAAGTTTTTTCTGATGTTTACGTGGAACCTCTTATGTTCCAGTTTGCACCCATTGCCCCTTGTCCTATCACTGGACATCGCTGAAGAAAAGCCTGGCTCCATCCTCCTGACACTTGCCCTTAGCATATATATAAACATTGATGAGGTTGCCCCTCAGTCTCCTCTTTTCCAAGCTGAGACCCAGCTCCCTCAGCCTTTCCTCATAAGGGAGATGTTCCACTCCCTTAATCATCTTTGTAGCTCTGCGCTGGACTCTTTCGAGCAGTTCCCCGTCCTTCTGGAACTGAGAGGCCCAGAACTGGACACAATACTCCAGATGTGCCCTCACCAATGCAGAATAAAGGGGGAGGAGAACCTTTCTTGACCTATTAACCACACCCTTTCTAATGCACCCCAGGATGCCATTGGCCTTCTTG